TTATTCTACTCTCCCTTTTTTTGTGGGGAAGAAAACTCTATATAGTAATTGATAAATCTTTCTAGATTATTCTATTAAATGAAAAAAATGTTCGAAGCACTCCCTTTTTGATTATATAGATTTAAAATACGAGAAAGGGAATCTCATAGGTAAATAACCTCTATGTTATCTATCTATTCAATTAGCTTAATTGTCACAATTCTGTAAGTTAGGGTGGGTATTACTTAATTTCACCCATCCTAAGGTCCCCTTTTTAAAATGTTAACCCCTCGGAAACCTTTGATTTCAGGCAGCAGTTCTGACATACTTTTCATCCCCTGGGATAACACTTGAATGTGGTTGTTTTCTTTGCCGGCATGACCAATGGCTTCAACCCCTGGGTATTTCAGTGGACAGACCATTTGCAGATCATTTGATGATGGAATAGGAGTCTTGTCTGTTGTCTGTAGACCTTTGTTGACATCTTCTCTTAGAACCAAAAATAGCAATGACATCCAACTTGCCCAAGTACTATTGGTGGCTTGGAAAAAATCTTGGGTATAATCCCTGAGCATTTAAAAAAGGTGTGGCACCACTAGTGTTATTGGATAACATTGTTTAGAAAAACAAGGACATTGCAATATGATTTAGGGTTCAACTGTAAATTCTGAAAAAGTTTGAGGACAACCTAAGTAATCCATTTCACTTATATTTTCCTTTTCACATATGCACAAGAATGATATATAACAAAATGTACGTCTAAGTAGGTGTAAAAGAATGCTTTCAATAAGTAAAACGAAACATTCTAAATTGTAAGAAAGAATTACAACATAGTTTAAAGGGCAGCATTTTTTTTACTTATTTTTATTAAGGTATGATTGATATACACTCTTATGAAGGTTTCACATGAAAAACAATGTGGTTACTACATTTACCCATATTATCAAGTCCCCACCCATACCCCAATGCAGTCACTGTCCATCAGTGTAGTAAGATGCCAGAGATCCACTATGTGCGTTCTCTGTGCTACACTGTTCTCTGGGTGATCCCCCACACCATGTGTACTAAACATATACCCCTCAATCCCCTTCTCCCTCCCTCCCCACCTGCCCTCCCACACCCCTCCTCTTTGGTAACCAATATTTCATTCTTGGAGTCTCCGAGTCTGCTGCTATTTTGTTCCTTTAGTTTTGCCTCATTGTTATACTCCACAAATGAGGGAAGTCATTTGGCATTTGTCTTTCTCCGCCTGGCTTATTTCACTGAGCATAATGTCCTCCAGCTCCATCCATGTGGTTGCAAATGGTAGAATCTGTTTCTTTCTTACTGCAGAATAGTATTCCATGTGTATATGTACCACATCTTCTTTATCCATTCATCTACTGACGGACACTTAGGTTACCGCCATGTCTTGGCTATTGTAAAAAGTGCTGCGATAAACACAGGGGTGCATATGTCTTTTTGAATCTGAGAAGTTGTATTCTTTGGGTCAATTACAAGGAGTGGGATTCCTGGGTCAAATGGTATTTCTATTTTTAGTTTTTTGAGGAACCTCCATATTGCTTTCCACAATGGTTGAACTAGCTTACATTCCCACCAGCAGGGTAGGAGGGTTCCTAAAGGGCAGCATTTTTTTATTCTTAGTATTGTCTTGTAATTAACTTCGTTGAAATTGATAGTTCCTTCATTGAACTGAGGTTCAGAAAAGGCCTGGGAGGGATGGCAGCATTAGGCAGCAGCAGATACTGTGTTTGGTTGGGTGCCTTCTCACACTTCATCTGAAATAACCTGTAGTATTTAGATTCTCACTCCACTGATGAAGAAACAAGTTGAAGAAGACATTTGACCTTAGCATTTGAAACATTTCTGTTTCAGACATTTTAATCCTATGATACATCTAAGAGCTTGGAAAGCAGTACCTCAGAAAAGCTGTAGCCAATTTGAAACTGGTTTAAAGTTTCACATTTGAGGCACCTAAATAGCTTTGGAAATCATTATTTCCTTGGTTTCCTCCACATAGGGTTGATCTTTAAATGAAAGAAAAATCAATAGCAAAAACTAAACTATAACAATTTTGTCAGCTGCAAGAAGAAAAGTAGTGCCTATTGCAATTTGGAAAGCTGTCCATGGACTTGTGCAGAGGGAAGAAAAGGCATAGATAGTACATTTCAAGAGCAGTGCCTCCAGCAAGGTGAATGAAACACAAAATTGATAGTGTTTTGAGTGTCATTAAAGATTCTAATAGAGCGATTGTGGAATATCTCAGGAAGATATTCCCAATATTTTCATGGGTTGATTAAAAGATTAGTACAAACAGTCAGTCTTTTATCCAAGTCATAATGAATATTTCTGGGAGAAGAATCAGCAAAAAACAAAGCAGGTAGTTAAAACTGCTGAGATAAAATGTACTATGACCTAAAAATTGTTGAATTAATTCTTTCTTTGTGACTAAATATAGATTTGCAGAATTAGACTTGGTAAAATAATGGCCACAAAAGAAACCTCAATGGTAGAAGCAGTTAGTTTAAAAAAATGGTATCAACATAAAGCAATTTTTTTGTAGTAAAATGCATAAGAAAAAATTGAGTCCAATAAAAATAAGTTTAGTAAAATAAAAAATAAAATAACAACAGCTTAACTGTACCATCTAGAAAAATTCATTAGAGAATTTTCTCCTGAAATAAAGTCTCAACATTCATCAAGAGCAGTAACATTTTTACCAAAGATTTACATTAAAAATGTCAGAGATAGTGTGGGGTAACATTCAAATCCAGGTCTGGCTCTTACATTTAGAGATTTTTCCATCAATACCATTACCACCTTAAAAAAAAGAAGGTTTAAAGTGAGATCATACAACAATGATTTAAGACAAATAAGATAACATAGTTCATTGTTTAATCAAATCAGATAATTCAATTCATATGCAGCCCTTTTGGAAATAATAAATATACGATGTAATCTAAAATATGTTGTGCTATCAAAGTGTTTCTAAGCAGGGCTGTGCAAAATGGCATCTTCAAGAGTAGTTCTTTCCCTGTTTGTGGGTCCCCAAGAGTAGTTCTTTCCCTGTTTCTGGGTCCAGGTTTCTCCATTCTCATTTTTTTTTCTCATCATATAATGCTACTTGATAGAATCTGGACCTGAGTACTACCTTTCAAATAAGCCCACCCACCATCTTAAAGAGACCTAGGTTTCATCTTACCTAGGCTACAAGCATCTTACCTAGGACACGTCAGCAAGCCACAAGCCCACCTTTCCCCTGACCCCTCCCCTCAAAAAGCCTTCTGAAAGCCCTGGCCATAAAAAGCCTCTTGACCTGTTAGGGCCCCTTTTTTTCCTTCGTTCTGCTGGCTGGAACCGAGGGGTCCCTCTCAGGTTTGGCAATAAACCTGCTTGGACTGTTGAGTTCGCATCCCCTTTTTTCTCTTTCATCAATCTCCTCTTTTTCTTCTTTCGCTACTGGCTTGTTTCATATCTTATAGAAATTCCTCAATTTCCCACAGATAGTATCTTTCTAATATATATATATTATTTCTTTATTGTAGATATATTATTTTTATATATATAAATTTTTATATATATAAAGATTTTTGTATATATATAAAATATATTTATTGTATTTATTTATTGTATTTATTAATACATTTATTGTATATATATAAAGATATATATATATATATATTTCTTCTGTCATGTCAGTAGGGTTTAGAGAAGGTCCATCAACCTGAACTGTAAGTCAATAGCTTGACTAAGTGATGATTACAGGAAAATAAAGTTCTATTATAAACATTTAAAGGAAGCAGACTCATAGAAAAGAAATCCATCACTGAAGTGCAGCTAACAGCAGAGGAATGAAATAAACTCCAAGTTATTAGGAAATGTACAACAGCAGGCTTTAGCAGATAATGGTACATAATCACAAGGAAATTTGGCGTTAAAACGAATGCCATCAAAAAGCCATTGCATCTTGTGCCTAGCATAAAGCAGGCACTTAATAATTATTTATTAACGGAATGAATGACATCATCAGAAATACCTTGGGATCTAATCCAAGCTCACATATCAAATGCGGTTGTGAACAATCTGGTATCTAAAACTAGAAGCTCTTTCTAAAGCTTGAGTTTATCTATTTCAAATGCTTTTGCAGTAGGTCCATTTCAACCAGCTTGCAACTAGAACTTTCTCCTATTGCAGAGTCCTTCAACGTCTGTTAAAAAATTGGTTCTTTTTAATTTTAAGTATCTCACTTGATTTAAATCTGGTAACGTAATTTCACATTGAAGGTTAACCAGAGTTTAAGTTAGGTAAGTGGCAACTGCTGATTTTTTCTGGGACCTCAAAGGAGAATAAAAATAGGGCCGACTTTGCAGAATATAAAAGACTACAGCTTTTGTAGAAAGGGCTTATCTCTCAGAAAAGTCCTTTCAAATTTAGTTTATACAGATAATGTGGGGATCTTATTACATGAAGATTTGATTAGGCAAATATGAGATGGTCCTGAGAACGCAATTCTGACAGCTCCCCAGTGGTGCTGCTGGTCTGGACACCTTTGCTCAGCAAAGGTATGAAACTGAGGTCTTAGGCCACCTAATTCTCGTTTTCAACTGCTAAGATTTGACCCACGTGTACGTGTTGTTTTGTAATTAAGAAAGTTTACATAAAACATTAGGCCTGTTACTTTCCCTCGTTTTCGAATGGGAAATAATACAATTCAGAACTGAAGCTCCAGCCTCCACACCTCTCCTAAGGCGGCTTTGGGGACCACAGTACGCGCCTCTAACCCCAAGCCAGATCTCCCCGGCCACCCGCTGCGGCTCCAGGTGTGCGGGAAAGGTGGACCGTGGGGACCCGGGGAATGCCCGGCAGCTCTCCGCCGCCGACGCGAGCCCTTTCCAGGAACGCGCGGGCCCGCCCCCTACTCGCGGCCTCCGATTGGCCGGGCCGGAGCCGGGCGTGACGTAAGGCCCCGCCCCTCCGGCCCTCCGGCCCCGCCTCGCGGGGTGGTCGGGCGGTTTGGTCTGGAGCAGCTGAAACCGGTTTGAGCGGCGCCGCTTCCTGCCGCTCGGCGCCGCTGCGGGCTTCCTCGGGGAGCGCTGGCGAGGCACTGACGGCGGCCGCCTGGCACCTCGGCCCCCGGCCCTTACTCTCGCGCGCGGCGGCGGCATCGCGGACCGCGGATTTGCGGACCCTGCCGGTGAGGGGTGCGGCCGGGCGCTCGGTGCGGGGGCCCCGGCAGCCGCTCACGTGGCGGCTGAGCTGTCAGGGCAGCCGGGCCAGGGACGCGGCGGGGCCGAGGCGCGCGGGCAGGGTCCCCCATCCCGCCGGCACTGCCCGTCGGGGAAGCAGCGACCTGGACGTTCGCTCCGGTAAGTCGGCGGGTAGCAGCTATTCAATTAGACTTTATTGTTTGCCGCCACGATTCCGCTGGGCTGCCTGATGGTTAGTTCCCCCCTAAAAAATTTGTATTTTCGACATATCAGACTGCGTAGAGCTTTGGACCACGAGTGTGCGAAGAAGTTCAGGAACGAAGAAACAAAAAATGCAGCCCAAGTCCTCTGTCCCCCTAACCCACGCATGCCCCTCGCCGCCACCACTCTCGATCTGTATGTAAGTAATTCATGGTATTTTGACAACTGCTGGTGTGCCGAAATTGCCTAACCACGGAGTCTAGGGCTTGCTTGTATAATTCAGTTATTTCCAGAAACCAAAGTGCCTTTTTCTAGAAAAAGGTTGCGGGAATAGACATCACTGACCACCATACAGTTTAAGACGACAGCCTGCCGCTCAGCAAAGCCCGACTTTTCCCAAAGACCTTCTATTGCTTTGATAACTTCTGGGGGAAAGCCTCAATCAGTAAGATGCTTCGCCAGCCCCCTTTTGCCCCACTGCCTGGTTATAAAGGACATCAGGCACGAATTCCATCTTGAATTGCAGAGAATTCTTTCACCTTGAGGCAGCTGTCCAGTCCGATGTAGCACCAACATAAAAGAACCTTATCAAACCAAGCAAAATGTTTGGACCTGATGTTTTCTTCCTACCCTTTCTGTGGCCCTCTCTCTCTCTTCCCAGCTCCTACCTACTCCTTTACCCCTTCATGTTTCTCCATCTTACTGCATTTCTGACAATTGCAGCTTACCTAACTAGTAAATACAAGCTGCCAGTCCTTTTTCTAACTCCTAACGTTCTGGGTATAAAAAACACAAGATAGAGCAAACAGATAAAACTGCAGTTGGCCCAATCCATTCTTGATGTAAGAACTAGGGAGAACCAGTATTCTCGACGAAGTAAGACCTAAGAAAGTTGGAATCAGAAATAATAACCACAAAAGAAACCTTTTGTAGCTTAGAGTAAGTAGAATTTGATATGTACAAAAAGTAGGTCGATGAATTAAATCTTTATGTATGACTTAACCAGGATAAATACATATGAAAATAATATCAACATGAAATGAAGTGGGAAATATTTGGAAAATTTTTACTGCATTGTTTAGAAAGTTGCCCAAGGAATTAATTTGTGTAATGAAATCTCCAGAAATGCTTTCTTAATAAATATCCATTCTTGTCGGCAGACATTTGATTAAAATATTGGCTCGAAGTATACTAGGGTCAGGATAGTGGGGTCATGATGATCCTCCAGCATGATGAACAGAAATTAATTTAGGAAAATGTAGACATTTCATATGTTATATTCTTACAGCCAGTTATGAAGATCAGAGCTGTTAGAGTCTAGAAGACAGCAAGGAGAATTTCCTTCAAAAAACTTGGGAAAAATAGAGATGTTCTTTTTGGCCAGAAATACACATTTTAGCTAAAAATATCTGTGACTTCAATTTAGCTCTAAACCAAATGTTCCTGTACCTTGGTTGCTTAAATCTCCCTTTTGTCCCCAAGCTGGTAAACCAGTAAGGTCATGTGTTAGGATAATTTCTTTGACAAAAAGAATAGAGTAAAATTAATTTTGCCAGGTAGTGTAAACTCTGAAATATTTTAAATATATAAATAACAGTGTCATATTTTATTAATTGCTTAAGCCTTTAAAAAAAAAGTGTTAAAATAGTGTTAACTGCTACTCAAAACCTCAGAAGAGAATGGCTGTTAATATTTATCTTGAAAAAGTGCAGAGAGGCTATATTTAAAAACCAAACCAAACCAAACCAAAACCCATCTCAAGAAATGTAGTACTGAGGTAGTAGGTGAGTTGGTTAAGTTACATTTACAGTCAGCTCAGGTACATAAAAATGACTAGCATTTTTCATCTTAATCTTGGTTTATGTTTATCTGGAAGACCTCCTCCTTCCAAATTGGGACTTTTTTTTGCTTGTTTTCAAGAAGACAAAGTGTTGGCAGGTGTGTAAGTTTTGTGTTCCACACAGAATGGTATTTTATTTTGTCACTGCTGTTTTGGTAGTAGCTGGGTGCCAAAATTGTACACTTCAATCCTGCACCAAAATTTTGGCCTCTGTCCACGAGCAAGTAAACTGCTGTCAGCTCCCCAGGCTTTTACTTGGTACAGTATTACATTTGGGGGTGGGGGAGGAGCAAGAGTGGAAACTAAATCAGATTATGACTGTTGGCAATCCAAGAGGAGGATGACTCTTTGACATCTGGGGAGGTGGTAGTGTGTGTGTGTGTCTCTATATAGAGCTTTGCGTAGTACATTTACTGTAGCTGTTTACAGCCATGTTACTAGACCCACTCTTATAAGCAACCTTAAGAATGAAAAGCTCCATTTTAATAATCAGTTTTCCCTTTTATTAAATTTACAGAAGTTCCCCATTTTTGCAGTAGAAATTTAGAGAGAATTTTGTACCAGTTGATTTTAATACATAAGAATAATTACATCTGGTTTCTCTAAAAATTGGTTCAAATAGTTACTTAAAACTGATGAACAAGTATTTGAGTACCAGCTATGTAATTATGTAGATGAGACTGCCCTCAGTGGAGACCCGTGGCAGTAAACGCTGGTTGGAGGTACTGACAAGTTACCGGGTGAGACTGAGATTGATTATTCAGCAGTTTTACTGCGGATGATGGGGCTCTTTGTTGCGTCTCAGCATTAATTCAGTAACTTAAAAGCCAAGCTTTTTCCAGCCTTAAGATTTCTTCTTGGTAAATAGGTAAATGTAAGATTGCAGTGCTTCCATGACCATTTATTAGAAAAGAAAATATTTGTACACTTAAGAGTTATACTCAGATTTATGTCCAATGGCACATTAAAAGACAACTGTTAAGATTTGGATAATAATAGTTTAATGGGGGATAAAAATCTAGAGCTATTTTTAGATTTAGAACATTGAGTGGCAGTGCTAGAATTGAATGTATATTCTTTAAATAGATCATGTTTCCTTTTAGACCCAGAAAGTAGATGGAAGTATCTTAGAAATTACTTTGTTCTGGGACAGGTTTGTTTTCCAGTGCAGTGTTTTGGGTTTTCAAACTGAAATTGTAGAGTTGCCAAATAGGGAATCCTTTTTCAAGTGATAAGAAACCACATTGACTGGTTGCTTAATACATGTATTCAATCTTAACATTTTATAATTGATGTAAGTGTCACGATACAGAGGTGAGAGCTAACATTAATCGTGGGCTCCTGACCCTCATAGCAGGCCCCTAGGGATAGATATTAGAGATCAGGTTTCTCAATGTCAGCCCTATTGATATTTGGAACCAGACACTCGTTTGTGGAGAGCATTCTGGGCATCGCATGGTGTTCAGCAGTACTCCATGCTTCTCCCTACTAGATGCTAAGAGCATTGCCCCCAAGTTATAATAACTAAACATGTCTCTTTACATTGCCAAACATCTCTTGGAGCAAAATTGCCTCCCAAGAGAACCATTGATACAGATTTGTGTACCTTGACTCAGAAGTGTGATTAACTGTAGGTAGCAGTGTTGAGTGAATGACCATCGCAGAGTTGGGGGTGTGTTCCCAGGAAGGGGAAGGGAGCAAAGGGAAAATAGAATGAATAGCTATGAAAGGCACATTTTTAAAAAGAGTGTTTCTATGCAAATAAAATTTAAACTGGTAAATTAATGGAAATGCTTCTGAGTAAAGACATGATTGGCATTCTTTAGGAACATCAGTGGATTGCGGTGCAAAAGTTTTTGGGGTATTGAAGAAGTTGTGTAGAATGTGATGTATCTTTGTGTGGAATCTGTGTCCTTTATATTTAAGTTATATAACCTTCCTGAGAATTGCCATTGTATTTTTTTTTTTAATCTATTTCCTATGTCCCTCAGGTATTTAAATTAGGGGATTGTAAACAGATTGTTTTGGCTGGGAAAAACAATGAAGAAATGAAAAATCAGCTAGAGAGAAAATGTGGATAAGCAGCGAAGGACAGCAAACGCTTAGGGGTTTAGATATCTATGAGTAATCAAAGTGATCCAATCCAGGGGTGTGAGGAAGAATATTCTAATTGGCATAAAATATATTATTGGGAAGACATTTAGAAGCTAAAATACAGGTAGTATACTGAGGATTTTGAATGGAGTTCAAGCCTTAGGAAGACAGGCATATATATTAAGATCAGTTAGAATCAACAGGGTTTAGTAGTAGATTACATAGTGGTGATTCAAAATCTGAGTATAGAGAATTAGAATAATGATGGTCCTATGGTTAAAGAGAAAATCTGGAAAAAGTGATTTGTATTTTTTTTTTTAAGTAATCAGTTATGTTACTTAGATTCTCAGACTTGTTGCAGAACACAAGTAATTTGTTTCAGCGGGTGATACCTAAGTTCTTTCATTTTTACCTTGTTATTAAAGTTGAAACCTTCTTGCTAGGTAGAAATCCTCCAGTGAGCCAAGCTTTTTTCTGTGTAGTTTTGTTTTTTTTTTTCCCTTCTTCCACCATAACATTAGCCTGGTCAGGAAAGATAGGCTGAGTTCAGAACAGCTGCTTATCAGAAGGGAAAGTATGTAACAAGAGAATCTCGAACTCTTAAAAAAAAAAAAAAGAGTTTGGATACATTTGTCTTGTAGTTTTTCATGTCCCTACAATCTTGCAGAATAGATTTGTAAAATTAGCCCCTAAAACTTGCCTAGGTACTTCCTAATTATATTTCTTTACATAAGGCCTATGACATCTTTTGCTCACAGTTGAGATTCATTTTTGTTATTTTGCTTTTTAACTTGTTTCTTGGTAGTAGCTACCTAGAGCTAATATTTTCACATATTATTAATGACATCTCTTTTTCTTCCTAGCACGACCTCCTAAAATAAATCCATCAGAATGACACCGTCTCAGATAACCTTTGAAATAAGAGGAACCCTTTTACCAGGTACTGTAAGATTTTACTTTAAAACAATTTCTTAAATTAAGAGACTTTTTCTTACCTAGATTATCTTAAATATGGAGTTATTGTTATTATTAGAGTGGGCCTAATTTTTAGATGAAAATATCTTTAGGGCTTGTTTAATATCAGAAATGTGATTGGGGCATAGTAAACTCAAGAAAGAAAGAAGGAAGGAAGGAAGGAAGGAAGGGAGGGAGGGAGGACAGAAGGACATATTGTCCAAGCAAGCTGTGAATTTATATAATTTTGTGCAGGAAAAAGGTAGTTGGGCTATGATTTTTAAGTAGCATGAAAGGGAAAATATGCTAGTGTATGAAGTTGGTGAAATACTTGGCTAAGGTAACCTTGTTCCCTGTTTGTTTTGTTTGTTGGTTTGTTTGTTCCTTTAAGTATTTTTTGCTGTCTACTGAAGCAATGTGAAATAATTTTAGTGTAAGACAGCTTGTGAAAACAGTATCACACCTGGGTTATATAACTCCATGGTTAATACACTCTTGACTGTACTGGCCAATTCCTTGCTTCTGCTGCATGCCTTCCTTCCCTCCTAGGGACTATCCAAATTGTTTCCTCTGCCCAGATCTGTGTCCTCCCTAACCCCTTTGACAACATACTCTGTCAACTGCTGTGATGGCTGCTGGAACAAAGATGCTGGATATACAGAGCAGATCATTTATTCATCTAGCCCTGGTCTGAGCCAGGCACTATACTAGCTACAGGAATTCAGCATTACATGACAAAGTCACATTTTGTAGAGCTTACATTCTATACACAAACAAAATTACTCAAATAATTCCATAAAATCTGTAAGGGTTACTGCAAAAAGCAAGAAGTCCTAGAACCTTGAATTTCACAGGGACCCTAACCTAGCTGAATGTGGGATGTTGGGATAAGGAGAGTTAAAGGGGTAGGGAGGACACAGATCTGGGCAGAGGAAACAATTTGAATAGTCCCTAAGGAGGATCTGGTACAGCTGTACCCTGGCAAGATTCTGCAGATTGAAGATTGCTAGTCAGCTGATGGTTTGGCTCCCTGGGATTAAGTGCTTGCCTCCAGTCCAGTGTGTATCCTTCTTTGTGAATAGAAGACTGTAGAACTATATTGTACCCTTTTAAGCAGTTGCACACAGGCAGTTTAAGCTAGAGATGCTGGCCACTTCAGGCAAATGGACTGACTGCAGAATTAGCCATAGAAGGGTCAGCTTGAGAAGGGGGGATTCATTCTCAAGGACTAGAGGGAAGGTCATGTAAATGAATCTGTAGGTGGGAAGGAGAGGAGGTAAAGGGACAGGGAGGAGATATTGGGGGAGACTTTCCCTCCCCCAAGCCCCTCATCACCTTGATTTCTTCACCCATGCAGGAAGAAGTGTTCTCTGCTGAATGGAGAGAGTGGGGAATGCAGTCGGATTATGTTAGAGGGAAGAACAACAACAGAATATGTGGGGGTGCTTTTTGCAAATTATTTACCATTCCAGTCTTTATAATATTTATAAATGAAAGCCGACTTACAAAAGAGGTCTGTTTTTCTAGTAGTAAGTTTCCCTTTTTGTCCTGTTAGAGCCATATTCAAGGGCAATCAGCAGAAAGAAATAGTAACATTGCAGGGGGGAATTGGTAAAATGCATGAGCACATGCAGGAGGAAAGTGACCCACCCAGTGCCCAAGTTTCACTTTCTCCAACGTGGTGCATATGTTTTTTCTGGAGTAGCTGCTGTTTTGTATGGGGGTAGGAAATAACTAACTCCCTTAAAGTTTTAACAAGACTCTTGTTTGTAAAGGAACTGTAATGGACCTGAGTCAGTGATTTTATCATCATCTGTACTTGGAGCTGGGATCCATTGCAAATGTTATGTGTATGCATAGCCACATATACTATCTTGGGAATGAATATTTGTGCCCCATATTTAGCAATGGTGCTTAAACTTTTTTTAATCCAAGAAGTTGCTGATAACCTAAGTTAATTGCAAAAAAATCTGGTTACTTTTAAGGATTGGTTAATATTTTGACATGAAATCTCTGTATGTAACCACCCTATGCTTTATGTACATGTATTTAGAACCCTGAAAACTCCTGAATGGCTATCACACTTGGAATTTAGTTAAGTTATATACAGTCCAAGGTCACAGAACGTTTAAGCAGGTGGCTGAAGCCAACTATAATTTTTAGTCTTACTAGAGTAGTGCCTAAAGCTTAGTGCCTAAAGCTAGAAGCCAAACTGCTTTCAGAATATGGAGGACTTTGTCTTGAACTTTGTTCATTTGGGCTCAGTTCATTATTTTTTCTTTATGAACTTTAATTATAAAAATTCAGGATATGCTGATAAGTCAAAGGCTTCTATATACTTAACATCCAAGAAATTGAAGACTTTTGCTAAATATACAAGATGTAGCAAATATAGGTGGTAAGTATGTTTTGGTTTACCTCTTAAGTACGAGAAGCATTCAGATGAGAATGTAGGTATTATTTTGATAAAGAATATTAGATTTTTCGCTGTGTAAGATTTTTCACTCTTTGTTTTATGCATTTTTCTTGTGGTGATGGTTACATTGCTTCTGTCCCACTGAAATTTTTCTTGATCTTTAGCTTGTTAATAGCTGTTGTTTGAATTCCTGGGAAATACTGGTTAATATTTCTCTAAAATGCTTATATGCATTTAGTGTTTGACCCTTTAAATTGGAAGCTGCCCTGAAAGCAGGGACTGTGTTTGATCACTGTCTTCTTGGTGTTTATTATTGATTCAATAAATAGACTCGAACAATGAAGAGAAGTTATCCCTACACATCCTTCCTTTTCACTGCCTCTTGTTCTGTAGAGGCAAGCCAGGTTAATAATGCAGGTGCTAGTGTGGTATCTGATCCACACCCATGTCTGTGGTGAGGCTCCTCCCATCTCTGCTGAGGGAATCCTGCATCTGGTTGAACTAGTGCAACTGACTGCTCTTTTCTTGCTTCCTAAAACTAAAATTTGAAACTTTCCTACTTATCCTGCTGTAACTAGCTGTGCTATTTCTTTAGGAGAAGTTTTTGCAATATGTGGAAGCTCTGATGCTTTGGGAAACTGGAATCCTCAAAATGCTGTGGCTCTGCTGCCAGAAAATGAGACAGGTGAAAGGTAAGCTTGGAAGTGTCAGGGTATAGAATAATTGTGGCATTCAGATTATAAACTTGGGGGAATTCTAAGCTACCTTGGTATGCTTTTCTTCTTTTAGTTGTGTCAGATTACCATAAAGAATGAAATAGTTTTACAAAGCTTATTGTGAAGAAAAACAAGTTCCTCTATTGCTGAGTTTCCACCTTTTCAAGCAGCCATTTTCAACTCTTGGCTGGTTCTTTTGGTACTTACCACCATATTTCTAAGCAACAGGCTATATTGCTATTCCTTAATTTAAAGAGCTCTTTTAGGCATTATCTTTTGGCTTCTCAGTACATATTCTTAATTGAAGATCTTATTTTTGCTTTAGCCTATAAAATAATTTTCTTGGCATATACAGCATTAATTAAAAGTAGCAGAGAGTGGGATACATACTTAGATATCTTAGCTAATGTTATGAAGTGAGTTCACAGCATGAAACTTAGTTTGGGTGTATTAATGCATGGGACCAAGGAAAGGAGGCCGCAGGAGGTGCCAGTTTCAATTCTGCGGTTAACTGGGATCTTGGGCAGATCTAACATTTCTAGGTCTCAGTTACCTCATCTACATGGTAAAAGGGTTAGGTTAGAATCAGTGATGTCAACAAAGATGGTACTCCTCCCCTTGGGGGATATTTGGAAGTACTACGGGTTGTCAAGATGTATGTGTGGAGTGTAAGGAAAGATGAGATTCTTAATAGTGTATGTAATACACACACACACACACACACAGCCCTGTGGAGAAGCATCAGATTAGCTGGTCATGAAGTTAAATTCTGTTTTCCTATGGAGCAGTGCCTCTAAAAATGTGTCTGTGGACAGTGCTAGACAAAAACTTTTATCAGTGTGTGATGTGAGAAATACAGAAATTGAGAGCAAGCATTTAGAATGCTTGTAACAATTTGACATTCCTGGGACATCCACACATGTGATCATAGACTCATTTCATTAAACTCCATATCTAGGAGTACTGGCCTCAGGACAGGATGGGTAAAACAAACAAGAAAACAAAACCAAGTCCTTCCCAGCAGATAGTTTGAGGGGCACTGATGGCAAAGCAAAGGAAGATTGCAAAGAAAATAAAACAATACCATAATGCAAACTGAGCAAAACAACACAACGAAACACCCTTTTCCCAATTTGTCGCTGATGTGACCCCTTTTCTTAGCCAATTCTCAGCTATTTTTATAAGTAAAGTTGTATTGATAAATAGTGTTGGGATCACAGAAGAATGTGATGTCTTGTTTCACATCCCACTCCTGACTGAGGTGAAACCTCATGTCTTTCTGAACTTGTTGCTAAAACGCACCTCTCTGCTTTGAACTCTTGAGCTGCCTTGTCACCTCACCTGCCTCAAGTCTATTTCAGTCAGCCTGGTCAAAGTGATGAGAACAGAATGAGGGAACACTTAACTACTTAACTCTAAGGGACCAGCCATTTCTACATTGCCATGTCTTCACATATGGCAGAGAAGCAGCGTTCAAAGGAGAAAGGAAGATGATACAAAAGGTAGTTTGCCTTTGGACACCATTCTTGTGTTTTAGAATTGTGTTTCTTTGGAATTTCAGTGTGCTCTGCATTTAAGTCTCTGTACTGCTTTTTCAGAGTCTCTTAAGCCTCTTCATACCCGCAAGGCTTGTGGGGATGAGCTCTGTTGGAATTGTTTTCTACTTAGAGATAGTTTTAAGGTCGTGGTATTATTCCCTTATAATGCAAAAGATATAGATTACTTGGGGGTTTTATTTGCTCCTCTTGTAGATTTTATGGTATTTTGGAGGAGAAATGAGGCTGACTGAGTAAGGCAGGTGCACTAAACCTCACTGCCTCTCTCTCTGGGTTTTGCTTGAATTTCATCAGGCTGTAAATTCATTCTTGAAATCACTGAAGAGTTCTGTTTCATTTTTCACTTTGCAACATTTGCTTAGAGAAGAGAACTATAAAGGCATGGCTTTGCTCTCTCTCTCCATCGTTTCTCTTCATTAGTGGTTCTAACCAGGAGTGCACATTATAATCACTGGTGAGGGCCTTAAAAAATAAATTAATTAAATAAATGAAATATACATATGTATGCCTGGATCCTACTCGTGGAGACTGAGAAATAGTACATGAGAGACGGGCCCCAGCACATTTTTCAAAGCTTCCCACTAGTTCTGCTGTGCCCATGAACACACACACACACACACAGCCCTGTGGAGAAGCATCAGATTAGCTGGTCATGAAGTTAAATTCTGTTTTCCTATGGAGCAGTGCCTCTAAAAATGTGTCTGTGGACAGTGCTAGACAAAAACTTTTATCAGTGTGTGATGTGAGAAATACAGAAATTGAGAGCAAGCATTTAGAATGCTTGTAACAATTTGACATTCCTGGGACATCCACACATGTGATCATAGACTCATTTCATTAAACTCCATATCTAGGAGTACTGGCCTCAGGACAGGATGGGTAAAACAAACAAGAAAACAAAACCAAGTCCTTCCCAGCAGATAGTTTGAGGGGCACTGATGGCAAAGCAAAGGAAGATTGCAAAGAAAATAAAACAATACCATAATGCAAACTGAGCAAAACAACACAACGAAACACCCTTTTCCCAATTTGTCGCTGATGTGACCCCTTTTCTTAGCCAATTCTCAGCTATTTTTATAAGTAAAGTTGTATTGATAAATAGTGTTGGGATCACAGAAGAATGTGATGTCTTGTTTCACATCCCACTCCTGACTGAGGTGAAACCTCATGTCTTTCTGAACTTGTTGCTAAAACGCACCTCTCTGCTTTGAACTCTTGAGCTGCCTTGTCACCTCACCTGCCTCAAGTCTATTTCAGTCAGCCTGGTCAAAGTGATGAGAACAGAATGAGGGAACACTTAACTACTTAACTCTAAGGGACCAGCCATTTCTACATTGCCATGTCTTCACATATGGCAGAGAAGCAGCGTTCAAAGGAGAAAGGAAGATGATACAAAAGGTAGTTTGCCTTTGGACACCATTCTTGTGTTTTAGAATTGTGTTTCTTTGGAATTTCAGTGTGCTCTGCATTTAAGTCTCTGTACTGCTTTTTCAGAGTCTCTTAAGCCTCTTCATACCCGCAAGGCTTGTGGGGATGAGCTCTGTTGGAATTGTTTTCTACTTAGAGATAGTTTTAAGGTCGTGGTATTATTCCCTTATAATGCAAAAGATATAGATTACTTGGGGGTTTTATTTGCTCCTCTTGTAGATTTTATGGTATTTTGGAGGAGAAATGAGGCTGACTGAGTAAGGCAGGTGCACTAAACCTCACTGCCTCTCTCTCTGGGTTTTGCTTGAATTTCATCAGGCTGTAAATTCATTCTTGAAATCACTGAAGAGTTCTGTTTCATTTTTCACTTTGCAACATTTGCTTAGAGAAGAGAACTATAAAGGCATGGCTTTGCTCTCTCTCTCCATCGTTTCTCTTCATTAGTGGTTCTAACCAGGAGTGCACATTATAATCACTTGTGAGGGCCTTAAAAAATAAATTAATTAAATAAATGAAATATACATATGTATGCCTGGATCCTACTCGTGGAGACTGAGAAATAGTACATGAGAGACGGGCCCCAGCACATTTTTCAAAGCTTCCCACTAGTTCTGCTGTGCCCATGTGGGGCTAGATTCACATATTCTGGTGGCAGTTTTGTGAATGAAATGAGTACTGGAAATTTGACTTGTTTTTGGTAACAGACATGGGAAATAAATTCCACTTCTGGGTTGGTAGAGTCTGCCTGTAGCCCTGTGTTGAAAAGGATTCTGAGGCTTACCAGGGAAAAGTGGTGGGACACACAAGCCAAGTGTTTGCCCGCCTTCCTTTACAACAGTGATTCTCAATCAGCCATTTACATCCTGACACTCTGGTGAAGTTGTGTCAAACTCCACATGACCAACTTCCACCCAGACCTAAGACCTATGAAGTCCGCGTCCTGGGGTGGAGCCAGGGCATTATTTATTTTACTACTACCAGATTAATCTGATAGTTGAAGCTAGGACTGTGGGTGACAGCTGGCAGTAGACATTTTGTTAGGAGCCAGGATTGAGTCAGAGTGAGTCAAAGCCCATCCTGGCAGGGCCAGGTGGGGAGCAGTGCTAGCCATCTGGTTTCATGGATAAACATTTGGAGTTGCCTTTTATTCACTGAACTACTCATGCTGAATTAATGTCTGGGTAATGGTCTGTGACAGTGGCTTTCAAACTTAAGTATTCATCATCAGAGTCGCCTGGAGGCTTGTTAAATTACAGATTACTGGGCCTCACCCTGGAGTTTCTAATTAGATAGGTGTGGGTGTGGCCTGATATCTGGTGTTACGACACACTCCAAGGTGATACAGATAGTCCAGGGACCATGCTTTGGATACCACTGGTCTATGATCTGAAGCTAAATATCAGTTACAGTCATGAACTGTAGTGCCTTCTTTGTCCAATGACATAGCATTGGAATATGTTGGAATAGCAGAGTTCATGCTTGCTGGGGGAAAAGCCACAGGCTGCATGGGACAGCTAGAACAAGGGACAATTGGGAACATGAGTGTAACTTGCCAACCTTGGCTCCAAAGCCATGTAACATCCCTAGCTAAGGGGGAAGTCAGAGAAAATTCTGACCAGCTTACACTGCTTGCTTTTTGTGTTTGGAAAACATCTCCTGGCTCTTTATATGGCTGGTTCCTTATTACCCATTAGGCCTCAGCTCAGACAGTTCTTCCTCATTGAGGCCTCCCCTGCAAACCTTGCTATCAGGTTGGAAAGGGCAAATAGCTCTTGGCATGTTATTCCATTGGTTGGTTGTCTACCCACGCGGGAAAGCAGTCTCCTTGCAGATGGGGCTCCTTCTGCCTCATTGCTTACTGTAACTCCAAGGGGAAAATACGTTCCCAGCCCAGGGCAAATGACATTTGAAGCCGAAATCAGTCAAAGGGAGACATAAAGTGGGAGAAATCCATTCATTGCTTATAAGCAATTGTCCACTTCTGCTTGTCCATGTCTCTTGCAACCCGGCTGTAAAAAGGGACCCCACCAAACCTCTCTGGTCCAGGTATGCCCTTGCTCCCCCAACCCTTGTTCACCTGTTGATATGGAGATGGACTACTTCTCTCCACCCTTTAGAAACACCTATCAATATGGAGATAGCTAAGTCTAGGCTAGAGATTCTGAAAATATTGCAATTTTACCCACACTCACTGTGCTTCCAGTGCCTGGTGCAGGTTAGGCCTGCAGTAAAAGTTTGTGTGGGAATAAGTAAGTGGTACTGGTCAGAGACCTGACTCGAAGGTTTGTATAAATTATGAAGTCTTTATGCAGTTTAGTTTGATATTGATGCTGTCCCTTTCTTTTTCCTTACAGCTTGTTATCGAAAGCCACCATTATACTCAGTAGAGGAGTATCAGTTCAGTATCGCTACTTCAGAGGGTGCTTTTTAGAACCAAAGGTACGTTTTCTTTATCTAGTTTCCAGTTTCTTTAGCAACTTCTTTGAAAAGCAATGACTTAAGTGTGGAAACACTGAAAGTAAAATGAGTTTGTCTTGATGAAGTAAGGCAAACAGAACTCTAGATTAATAACATTGTAGTACCAAAAAGCAAGGAAGTAGCCACTTCTGAGGCAGACTATGTCTGCCATGGAATTTTAAAAGACTAATAGTAAGTATGTTCTGCAATATTCTTATCAAGGAAGTAGTTTTAATAAATGTTCTGGGTAGGTGTGCATTTTCTGTAACTTTTCTAAACCAGTTAGTAACAGTTGCAAGGGTTTTTCTTTTTGTTTTGTATTTTACTCCTTATGTGGTATAAATACATCTACACTATGAGCCAGCTTTAAGTGAGTAATTGTATTAAAACATTACTTCACAGCAGCCATCTCTTAGTGGCTGCATTGCTTAACTCCTATCAAAACTGAAGTCCTTTCTCTTAGGTTTTTTTTCTCAACGATGGTGTTGATAGACCAGGATCTTTTCTGAAGGCCTTTGGAGTATCTATTAAATATAAATTTACTTGCCTCACAGTGATTTATTGTTTGGGGATTATTTTCATATTTAGAAAAGAAAAAAAAAGTTGATTCTTTCCCTCTAATTTAAAGATACTTGTTTCCTGAAAGGATTCTCTTCCTTCAGATTTTTACCTTTGAGCACACTTGGGCTGCATGTGAACAAGGGCTTAGGTAGGAGTCTAGGAAGCTAAACATGGGTTAGACCTTTTAAAAAAAGTGTATTTCCCTTTGGGGTCATTGAATACTTGTTAAATGTGAAGAATGCAAGCAGCTACTGTTACCTCATTCTCTTAGCCACCACTATAAAAAAGAAAAAACTGACGAACTTCAGCTGTCTTTTGCACCTATTACGTTTCTTATTCCAAGAATATATTGTTAATACTCAGTAATTAAACTGAAATTATATTATGGTTGATCATTGTGTTGACTTATCTTGACAATAGTCTCACTTTAATGACTTAAGATCATTAATTTGGCATAGGGGTTATGTATCATGGCAAAGTTCTTTAGTATAAATTGAGCAATTGTGCATAGGTACGTAGGTCATAACACACATGATATCGAAAGCTTATTCGAGGCTCCTTGTATATGAAATTTATAGCATGAAATCAACTAAATTTTACTTTAGGAGCATTTGGATAAGAAAAACATAATGAGTCCTTTGGACATAGTTCTCCAAAGTAAGACTATTGTCAACACAGGTCAAATTAAGCCAGCCTACAGTATTTTTCCTCTTCATTGAAAATGTACCCAAAAGCAACAAATCAGTCCAAAGTGCCTTTCTTGAAAAAATTGGCAAGAAGTCTGCTTACAATAAAAAACAAGTTTTTCCCCTTGTAATACTTGCAAAAGTTTACAGTATGTGTTGGTGAGTGTGTTTCTTTAAGTAGGTGCTCTGTATCGTGTACACATGTACCGTGTGATGCAGGGGCTGCCATGGTAAGTATGTTTTTCATGGAATAGAGTAAATAGCTACATAAAATTCCCATGCATATAGCTAGGGGTTTTTGTGGGGTTTTTTTGCACATGCCAGCTTCAAGTGACACTTCTTTTAAAAGTTGGTGGCACTTTTTAAATGAAACATCATTTTTAATAGAAAAAGTTATGAAATTTTGTCTCGATGCATTGTCAAGTGATGGAACTAATGTTCAAGGAATCTTAAATTGTGAAATGATGTAAATTACTGGAATATATATTTTATGAATATAAAGGCAGGAAAACAAAGTAATTATGAGAGCCTTGAAAAGCTGAAATGGGTAGTAAGATTAATTTTACTGGGTCAAAAGTTTTAGGAGGCAGTCTCCCCAACCAGTTGTAGAGCCTAAGCTAAAAATCTTGTGATCCTGTCACTTGACCTTCAGACCTCAGCTTCCTCATCTATAAAATGAAGGATTTGAAGTATAAATTTCTTGGTTTCTTTACATTACAAAAATTTTATTGTAAGTAAATAAAATTTTACCATTTATACTTGTCTTTCATATTTTGCTCTTTTTAACTTATTCCTTTTAGTTTAGAAGTTAAGAGTCTTGAAGTCCTTTTTCTCATAATTTTTCATAGCTATTCTCTGAAACCTTGTAGAATCAGAGTAAGGTATTAATATGTTGAATTTTAAAATAATTTTGCAGGTTACAAATCAAAATATTTATATATGGCAAACAAAGGTAGTAGATATTTCTAGAATGAAAACATTGGAATGAGCCTGCAGATAGTCCACTAATTTCAAATCTTCACCAAAGATAATTTTTAGTTAGCATGTAATTTAAACTTAGAAAGAAAATCCATGTCCACCTTTCTACTTGTGGCTGGAATTAAGGATGTTACCTCATACTGAAGTGTTGATCAATTTTAAAATATATTGTTTTTGAAATTTTTCCTTCTTTTCAGTGGAAATAGCTCTTTATTTTTCAGTAACATCTGTTTCTGATTTTTATAGGTGTTAGCATTCACTCATAATTGCAAACTCATATACTTGGTTAGTTTCCCTTGATTTTTGCTTAAATCCTCTAACAAAGGAATCAGTCGTGGGATAGGCAGATAATTATTTTCAGAATAGCCCAGCTTGGCATTTTGTACAATGGTTTCTTAATAATAAAGTTGTTGATGCTAAATGCCCTCAGCTCTTAACTTCACATTTGAGCCACCTCAGAGATGTCTGTCCAGCTACCTTTCTTTGCTGTACTCTTTACTCATTCCTAATTGATCATTTTTCCTATTGATCTTACTAAAAATAGTGATCTTTAAATAACTGTGGGTCTGGCCTCTGACATAGGTAAAAATTTCTTAGAGCCCTTTACATGCACATTTTTTAAAAAATTGTGGAAAGACAACAATCAGTAAAATTTTTAAAGCATTTACATTTTTTATAATATTTAAAAAGCAGTGGTAATACACAACTAGTTGATAATTTTCTTGGTGGTTTGTTAAAAAAAGAAACAAATGCAGTCTGCATGTTGGATAATCTTGTTCATTTCTCTCAGTGCTTGATGTTGCTGAGTGATGTCAGTAACTATTTAAGAAAGCAATTATTATGACTTTTTTTACAGAAACATAGGCTTTTGGGGGGGTATTTTTGTTAATACGCCCGTTTGAAAACTTTCTACCAATTATCTGATTTAATACATGTGAAATTGTGAAATAACTCTACTTGGTACTGCTAATGGAATACTATTGTCTTGAACTGATATTGTTACTTTTTTCTCCAAAGATCCACCTTCCACTTCACTCCCAAAATATTTAAAATTGTGGCAGCCTTTTACAGAATGGAACTGTTCTTTTGTTTAACATCTTGAAGAATGAGTTATTGTCTTTGGCATGTTCAAAAGGATTGCATGTTTTGGAGTCATCTCTGAGATTTTTAATTTCCCAATGCTCAGGTCTTAATTTTTTCATTTTTTCAAGAACTTTAGTAAGCTAAAATTTAAGATTACCTTCTAAAGTTTAATAAAATAGTCAAAATAATTTTGGAAATTCAGTGCATTTTAAAACTTGGTTCATTTTTCAATATTATAACACTGTATCAATCAACATGGATTTGTAGTGTGAATGCTAGTAGACAGAATGTGTTGAATTGTCCCTTTGGACTGCTCCTCAAATAACACCATTCTCTTCAAGCCTTGGTTGTTTATGCTGTAAGTAATGGGTTTGTTACTAAAACAGATGAGGGTAGTTAAAAATTACACTAAAATATGTTTCCTATCAAATATTTAATCCAAAGAGCTGTTCTTCCTATGATTAAGTGTAGATACTGTGGTCTGTACTTTGTAAAGTTCTGCTAACTCTTTTCCTCTACCCCCTTTTTACTCCTGCCAATGTTTAGTTAATATTCATGGCACCCCTTCAAGTCATTTTTGATTAGTAACTTCTATTAAGAATACATAAGCATACCATCTTTGTAACAAAGAGGATTTGTGTGTGTGTTGGGGAGGGGAGGGTATGGGAGACATGGGAGCAGTGGAAGAAGGGAATAGGTTACTTTCTGGCTGCTTATTATTGCTAAGACATATTATTCCTATTTTTAATGTTAACATTTGTATCATTTGGGGATCAGAAAATTTGATGTTTAAGAAACAAATTGAGAAAAACATGACAAGAAAAAGTTGTAGTAAAAACATCCAGCATATGTAGGATTAAATGTGACTTTTTTAGTGTAATGGAAATTAAATTCACCATATGTTAAGATGGGCAATTTCACATTTACATTTTTAAAAATCATCTTAATCTGCCAATTCATCAGTGAACCCATATAACAAGGAGGTATTCAGCCAGAGAAAATGAGCATTTCCTGTATTATCCCAAGATTAATGATTGAATGAATATCTAATGCTATTTTAGTTTTCAAACTTACAAAGTTTGCAAGTTTTAAAAAAGATTTTAGCCTCTGGTTATTTTAAGTGGCAGAATTATCTCTTATGTGTAATTAATAATGAGCCTATGTTGATACATACTTATTTATCAGTTGATACATTTATTAGATATAATCAATGTCAAAATCTGTAAAATGTTAGAGAATAGTAATAACTGCCATCTCAAGATGTACAATATACAGAAGCTGGTATGTTCCAGGCTTTTTAAGAGTACATATAATATATGCCTAGAAAAGGGCTTGACGATTGTATGTGAAACATTGAGTGATTATCCTGAATGGTGTAATAACGGGTGATTTTTGTCTTTTCTTTTCGCTTCTCTGTATTTCACTGAAACTTTGCTTTTAAAATGTGTACCTAAGGTTTTATTTTGGCACATAGGTTTAATTAGTCAAGTTTTTTCTTTTTTTAAATTAGAAAACTTAGAAAGCATTTAATACATAAGTCTTTTACGTATATGCAGGGAATCTTTGTTGGTAGTTCATCCTTCTTAAGTTGCTGTAGACATTATCAACAATGATACATAAAGCACATTTATTTTCTCTTTTAGTAAGAAACCTTGATAAGAAAAAATGTTAGGAATTGTCATATTGTATGAATTTATAGACTTTTAAGGCAAAAAGGATAAAACTGCATGTTCCCCTTTCTCAAACTTGTTTTTCAAATTTACCCATGCATGTGTCCTATTTTTTAGACTATCCTGTGCTCTTCAGAAACACTGGTTACTGTGAGAATGAGAAATCTGATGTTCTTCCTGTCATCTACTTACTATTCTTAAATACATATAAAAAAGAACCTTATTATGCCCCTAGTTACTTGAGTAACTTGTGATAATTGATTTGGAAGTATTTGTTCCTACTATTCCAATGATCACAGTTTAGGCTTTTTCCAAAAACTTGGAGTTACTTAGGGTCAAATACTTTATTCAGTAATACCGCATTGACTACTGACATACCAAGCATAAAGTATATTGGTATTAACCTTAACTTAGGATAGAATATCAGTGAAAGATTAGAATTGCTTTGAAAAAAATTGAGTATTGTAGGCAGATTTAAGAATGAGTTTAAGACGGTTTTATGTGCCAGATCATCTCATTTTTCTGTTTACTGCCTCACCTTATTTTCTTCCAGCGCTCATCATGTTTTATGACCTGGTACATTCCTGATTTTTTTGGCATATAATATTGATGATTAACACGATGAATCTCTTGGTTTATATTTAGTATAAGACTTAGACCACAAACATCTAATGGAATCATGGGTAGAAAATAAGATATAAGAAATTATTGCAGACATTTAACTTTTAAATTGCAGACTATCGGTGGTCCATGTCAAGTCATAGTTCACAAGTGGGAGACTCATCTACAACCACGATCAATAACCCCTTTAGGTATGGGCATTAACTGCATCTGTTTGAGGCATATGCATAAAGTTACTAATATGCTGCACAATGGCTTAGTGTGGGGTTTAAAAACTTTGTATTCTAAAGTTCAAGGTCAATGCACTGTCAGTACTACAGATTTCACTTAGCATATTGTGGCTCTTTTAAAACTAAACAGTTTTCAATTCTTTATAAGCTTTGTTAGAAATGCTTGCCTAGTCATTTTTATTTCTTGGGCTAGATTAATTTATTGTGGAATATTTCATTTGGAACAGTTATAAAGTTTATAAAGTACATCTTTTTTGACTGAGCATCCATTGTTTTATTTGATTACTTGCTCACAGAACTTAAAAGAACAGTTGAGGAAAGAATCCGAAACAGATTCTTAAATTTTTAACTTTGAATAATAAGAGTAATAGAATAACTTTTTCTATTCTGTGTTTTTTTAGAACTAGTAAATACTTGGATAAACTTGTATGAATGAATTCATATTTCTTGGTTGTAGCAGATGTTATCTTCCTCCTAATTTACTTAAGTAATGGTGGCTATGTTAAAATTGATATTCAGATAGTTTCTTTTAAAAAAATTAGTTTTCTTATGCCTAAAAATGGCATTTCTCTTCATAAAAGTATTTTTAAATTTCCTTTTCTATACTGAGATTAAAATTTAAAGTTCATTTCACATACATTAAATTACTCACTTGGATTCATCTATAAATTGACTCTGCTGAGAAATATATCTTTTAGTTTCTAGAGAAAATTAGAACTTAAAGATTATAAATGGCTTGGTAGTTGAGATAAGAAAGTAGTAGGAGATTCTGCTTTACCGTACAGCAAGGACACATCTTGTTTATACAGATATCTCATTCCATCCTCTTTATTGGATCTTCTTTTGATATGTTTGTTTTAAAACATTATTGATAGTACATTTAGATTTTTATGATAGTGTACTGTAGAATTATAATAATCCGACACTGAGGTTGGAAATTATTAGGTATTAAACATTTAAAAAGTAATTTGTGTTTTGAGGTATCTTGCAGTTAAATATATTTTGTTATTGTGAGAAGCGAGATGATTTTGTTTCTGGCCTTTTAAAAAAATTTATACTTTTGGAAAATATAACTTCTGAACTGAGGCTGCATGAAATCTATCAGAGAATCTTTATTGAGAACTATCACACTTAAACTTTGACGAAGATTTCAGTCTTATGTTTAAAGTAAACTGGGAAAGTAAGTCACAAAGAAGACAATTAGTCATTTTTTCAGAGGGTGGTGCTTAACAGCTGTTCTCATTGAGCTGAAATTTCTGTTTGAAGGGAATGTGCTAGTACTTACTCTTTTGGTAGCTCTTCACAGCTCTGTGTACACAGGTAAGTTTTTGCTGTTTGTAAAACTTTTAGCTGGCTATGGAGAATAGTTGGGATTGGAGGAGAATTACATTTTAGATAAGCTCAGAATATGCACTACTTAAGAATAAGCATTTTAATTGTGCCAAGACCTTTGCTGAAAAATCAACCAGGAGATTCTGTCCAGCAGGTTGTCAGTCTCACTTATTAGTGGAGAAGTTTGTCCCAGTGCCTCTAGAGCACCTCTCTGAGGAGTTTTCTTTCTCTTCTGTAACATCATGAATAATCACCAAGTCTGTAGAGAATACCATTGTTTGATAGCCTGCTTGAAAGGGAATTCTTTATTGAGGGCTACAATAAATATGCTTATTCACTTTGGGCTGCTTTTAAATTTTAGATTAACTATTTTAAGTCTTCAAGGTGGGTAATTTCTCAATTGTTCATTCTGTATACATCATGAATTTTAACTAGTTTCCTATTTTCCTTTAATTCTAGAAAGTGAAATTATTATTGATGATGGACAATTTGGAATCCACAGTAAGTGTTGCCTTACATTTCACTAGAAGTATCACAGAGAAATATGACAGAGTATAACACTGAAAAAGAAACTAGATCCAAGAAACATAACATACTGTTAGGAAAGTTTCCAGTACAATTCTTATACTTAAAATTTGTATCCTTGGTTTTTGACTGGTGATTTTAGATATGTGCATTAGTATAGATATAAAAGTATTATACTTAACTGTTAATATATCATTACTTTTTAACACCATTATGTTTGGAAATACTAACAGTTCTAAACATTTAATGTGTGAAACACTACTTAACATTGATTTAATGTTAACATCTCATGTTAGTAAGACAAACATACCTTAAATCTCTTAAGTTATGTTTGTATATTTTGTGTGTCTGTATATGCATTTACAGTACTGAGCAGATTAAGCAGAATGTGCTAGTACTGTGGCTGAGTCTTTAACAAGTAGAGAGAAAATCCTTTTATTTCTGAATATGTTGTAAGTGTTAGACATTCCTCTGCCACCCTGCCTCAGTAAATATCTTATCTTGAGGATTCAAGTTTTCTTCAAAGAATGGAAGTCTCACAGCATATCAGCATTATCATGTTAAACTGCATTTTCTCTGTAGATGATATACTGTAGGAATCAAAAGGCGTAAAGGGGGTGGACAGAATGTGTCCTTGCACTGACTGTAAGCCAGAGATAATTGCTGATAACCAGTTCACTTTCCTATTGAGTACAGGAAGGAACAAGGCCTGAATGTTTGGTTGTGGTTTTCCTAGGTACCTATGTTTATGCAACTTTAGAAATGTACCTGCTCATAAGGCTGTCTAAAATAATTTGAATAGCTCTGCTGTTTTAGAATCTTACCTTTTTTTTTTTTTTGCAAAAGATGACATTTATGCTACATGTTTTGGAGTTTTCTATATAGAGGAGTAGTTTTCTCATTTCTTCAGTTGTAATGTATGACACTGTATCCCCTCTGTTATATGTTAATTATTATGTATGGTTATAAATTTATGTTTTTTTCTTCGTGGTGGTGGTTATTGTCCTAGTTCAAAATTCAGCTTTAGTTACTTTCAGGATGGAAAGCCATTTCCCAACTTTGTCCATTTCTTAATTTTCTTAAAATTAAGCGATGACAGTAGTTTCTCTTTATTTTTAAAACTTAATGGACAGTGACTGTAATGGGGTGTGTGGTGGGGACTTGATAATGGGGGGTATCTAGTAACCACAATGTTGCTCATGTGATTTTATATTAATGATACCAAACTTTAAAAATGCAAAAGAAAAAACTTAATAATTATTAAATGTTTTTAAGTTATAAAACTTAAGGTTATAAAATTAAGGAGAAAAGTTTCTTGTTTTTTTTTTTTATAAATGTCCAAGGATGAAAAACTTAGAGGTCTAAAACAGTTGTCAGCTTTCTGGTATTTATGAAAATTTTATTACCTATATGTTAGAGTAGGAAACTACAAATTAAACAATGCTAACACAGTGTTATCACAGTTCATGCAGTTTTTTTTTAATGGCAGAATGTATAAATGTGAGGACACAGAATTGAATCACAGTTTTGTTTTTAACCTCTTGTATCTCAGCCCCCGAGCATTGTGGCATAAGTAATCTCAGCTGAGTAGCTCATCTGAAGCTTTGGAATTGTGATAGGCATTCCTAGTAGAACTTTTGGGCTAGAAGCTATCTTGGAACATGTACTCTTTCTGAAATAGATTTGTATTATTTCAGTAATGGATTCAATAAGAATATTTTAATTTACTGAAGTTGTTAAAGTATGGCTAATTATTAACACTCATTTAACATTTTCCCCCTACTTAATATAAAAGTTCTTTTTCAATGACAAATTTAAGGCTACTTGTATATTTGCTTTGGAGAGAAATAGCATTGATATATAGCCTGAATGCACTTAAATATTAATGTTAGCTAGAATTGTCAGTGTATACTATACTTACTGGATTGTTTAAAAAAATGTATAGTAATTATTGCTCTTCATATTTACTTTGTCAGATGGTGTTGAGACTCTGGATTCTGGATGGCTGACATGTCAGACTGAAATAAGATTACGTTTGCATTATTCTGAAAAACCTCCCGTCTCAATAACCAAGAAAAATTTAAAAAAATCCAGATTTAGGTATGACCATAAGTATGACCATAAGTGTTTTGTTAGGCTATTTATTTTCACTCATGCTGTGGATTTCTAACCTATTTGGTTTTAGGTTTTAGCCTTTAAGTATATAAAACCAAGAAAATAACACACTTACAGATAATGTCACATTTTCTTGTAATTACAGGGTCTTGTGAGAGTGAACTGCCACTCCACCTCAGATTGCTAGTTACATGTATTTACGTTAATCTCTAAACTTGAAACCAGAAAACTGTTTCTATATAAATAAGAGATTTCCAGGCTTACATATTTTTGTAGTTTCCACCATTTAAAATTCTCTTAGTATAGTAATAGTTTGTTTTAAAATTTATATAATGGAAATGATTTTGTGCTAAATGAGAGGAAAATGGCATAAACAGAGAAAAATGATTGTTGGAAATATCCTTCAGTGTCCTAAATTTTCCTGTGGCTTGAAAACAAAAAACCTTTCCATGAAGAAAGGTAGCAGTTATCACAGCAGTTACAGATTAATTTCTTCTTAATCCTAAATTAATTTAAGAACTAGTTGTCATGCTTTGTATAAATAGTAAATGGTAACTTAATTTTTCTGTACTATCATCATATAAATCTTTGAGTGGGCTTCTCAATGATCCACACAGCCTTATCATTTGAATTTTTGTAACTTCGGGACTTAAGAGTTACACTTCTTGATATGTAATGTAACCTTTTCTGACAAAATGTCAAGGCTGGGCTGAAAGGGCCATTCAGTAACTGAAGTAATTAATAATACAGTATCTATTATTGTCATAATAAAATTCACAATGATACTGGAGTTTGTAAATCCATGTATGTTTTATAGTAGCTGCTATAAACATTACAGTAGTTAACTTATCCAAGTCATAAAATACATAAAGGAAAGAGTGGATAATACTTCACAGTCCTGTGCATTGGCTGTTCTGAAAGAGAGTAGGGTTTTGAGTGTACCCTGTCTCTGTGCATTAGCTTTTCTAAGCCTCTGCTTCACTTTTGAAAAACCAAGGTAATTGGGCCACGTGGTTGATCTACAAAATCCATTTAACTGCACAGATTCTGTACCCAGTCATACATAATTGAATATTTTATTTACATGTTGAAAGCTAATAAATTGTTACAGCTGTTGACAGCTGTGTCTTACTAACATGAGACCTTGAAATAAAGACAGCAGTAGAAGATAAGTTAGTTGGTTGGACTTAAGTGAATTTTTTTCCCCTTGATGTTAGTTAAGAAATTAATAGATGACCAATGGTTGGGGTTCTGAGTGGATTGCATACTGAATATTATACTGGTCTTGTTTATATAGAAATTATTTTGAGTGTTTGTACATATTATTGTGTTGCTTAGGCTTAAACTGGAATAATTTTGTATAGCCATACTTAGTTGGGCTGTGCCAATCACATAACTGTTTCTTATTGAAGTAACTGCACATAGCTAGAAATTGTTCTGACAGGTTTTTTTTCCCAAATTCATGTTAATATTAGACTGAACTTTCATGGTGTAGGAAATAAATTTATATTTAAGGATATCAGGACTTTAAAAACTTAGCAACAGCTTATGCATTTTAAGTTGAATACTAGACATGCTGTTCTATCTCTTTACCACCAAATTTTAAACCAAAGTTTCTCTTTCAGTTGATTGCCAGTAAGTGGAAAGCAAGGTTTCTTCTTGATGATAGACTATAACATTGAAATAGCTATTTGAAGAAAGCTTTAACATAAATGACCTGAATTCTTTGATGGATACCTTTAAATTTGATTTTTTTTTCCTTTGGTAGATGCACATTGGTATTGGTATTGGCAGAATAGCCATTTTTATCTTCATGCTTTTCTTGCCTGTTTATTACTGTCCATTTGTGATCTCTTCATATGCCCAGTAGAGAATGTTTGTTCCTTCAGACTTACCAACAGAATCAATTCTCTTGCTATTCCTAAGAGTGTGATTTCTGAAAAGAGCTGATGAGTTTTGTTTGGATTATTGAAGTGTTACTTTTGATTTTATAGTGTGGTTACAGAACAATATTACTAGCTGAATAGTCTGTGTAGATGTTCCCTCTGGGTGACCTCAGAATGTGGCTGTAAGACAAGCCTCAGCAGTGGTTGGAGGCAGGAGGTAATGAAGAGAGAGCAGGCCTCTCTAATACCATTCCTTGATTTGTATTATCAATCAGATCCCATTTAGAATGAAAAGTTTTTGTAGCTCAACTGTTAGCTCTCTGCAGTAACATTGTTTCCTACATTAATAGTATTGAAATTGTTTAATATGTACTCATTTCACTTGGTGCAAGAAATTTTCTGGAATTGAATTGACTTCTTGGCATTACAAGTGTTCTGAAAGTAATTGCTTCTCATTGAGAGTAGAATATAATCTGTGGCCCTATGGCTTGGGTAGCTGCTCTTTGTTTTCACTGCTGTGAAGTTTTAGACCCTTGGTTATTTTTCTGTTCATTTGTTTCACTGAAAAGGTACATTTATATAGGTATATATGCATACATTAAAAACATGCATATAAGTAAATATATTTAATACAGTATTTTTTGTTTAATAATATGCTTTTGACAAAGTACCTGGATTCACTGTAGTAAGGTAGAAGAAAGAAAATTTTTAATTTACTGCCTCCAACTCTTAACATTCTTTTAATGCACATTAACAGAAATGTGGTTCAGTTTTGTGCTTGTTTTATATATATACACTTGTGAACTTCTCAGAAGAAATTGAGATAACCAGTTTTAAATGGGATATTAGTAAATAACTCTTTAGGTTCATTTAAAAAATAACCAAGAATTAATGAAAATAACCTTAGGCATAATGAGCATTTGTCTCATTTTAGTACTTAGCAGAAATATATGCAGATTTTTACAAATCAGTGTGTTTTAAACATAATGCAATAACATCTAGTATGTGTGGTCTTTATATTATATATTGTTTTTGTTATTTGAAGATAGTCAGGGAGCACTTTTAAATTCAGCAGTTAGGTAATACTTACATGAGTTTTCCTTCTGTTCTCCTTTTTGCATGTCATTATTTTTGTCCTTTCTTGTAGGGTAAAGCTGACACTGGAGGGTCTGGAGGAAGATGACGATGATAGAGTGTCTCCCACTGTTCTCCACAAAATGTCCAATAGCCTGGAGATATCCTTAATAAGTGACCATGAGTTCAAGTGCAGGCATTCACAGCCAGAGTGTGGATATGGCTTACAGCCTGATCGTTGGACAGAATATAGCATACAGACAATGGAACCAGATAACCTGGAACTAATTTTTGATTTTTTTGAGGTGAGTAGTTTCATGGAAGGGGTTGAGGAAAAATGCAGGCATGAGCATATTTTTACATACACTTTGATTTTTATGTTAGTCTCATTTGTGTAAACCTGCAACTCATACAGCTGTGTAGATGTTTACTCCTCTGTACATTTTAGCAGACTTAAAAAGCTTGGAGTTGGCAGACTCGAGTACAGTTAAGAGTGTAATTAAGAGAACTTAAGCAGAATTGATGTATTACATCAAGACCAGATGGCATGATGTCTGTGTCTGTTATGAACATAGTTAGGTAGTATCCAAAGGGCCCTCCAAGGATAAACAAGAGGTGGGTAGGCTGTACAACCCTTGTTGGGCAGCCTGATGTAAGGAGCATGTAGGTGCCCTCTTCATGGCTGAAGTCTGTGGTTTTTCAAGGCATTTTATTGTAAGAACTCATCGTAACAGTGGACTCATTTTTGAAACTTTACTTGATAATTATAAACTCGTAATAAAAAATTGTTGCTGTGAAAATTGTGCCAGGCTGTTCAGAATTGAAGCTGCCAACTTCCCAGAGCTCCTTGTCACTCTTACGCTAGAGCTCTTGGCTTACTATTCAGGGGCTCCCCATGAGTGGGTCCTCCCCTGGGGTCCTGGCCCCGTTGTGCCTGGCTCAGTGGCTCGTGGATGCTGTCTTAGGCCCTCGCCTGTTGGCACTTTCACTCCCATTTCCACTAGGTTAGAGTTTAAATCTTTGAGAATAAGTACTATGGAGTAGCACCTAGCCAGTTTCTTCGAAATAGCTGAATTCAAGATGGATTTAAACCCGCTGAGTGACACTTGTTACACATAATTAAAATTATATTCTTTGAATTGTTTAATTTGTTGACATGTTTAGACATAGCCTTTGTGAGTAGCTTTTTGGCTATCTTGCATTATGTGGAATTTAAAGATTTCCTTTAAAAAAGCTGTGATTAAAAACTTTATTGTTAAAAGCCCCACAATTAGGTCTTACCTAAGTAATAAGACCTCTGGGACTTTATTATAAAAATGTGAGGTTCCCTTATTCCTGAAGGACCTGCCTTTTAATTATCTTTCAAACAACTTAACTTCCCTTTCCTTTGGTTAGCAGTTTGGGAAATATTATTTTACTTATAGACAAGGCTGATAAAATCCAGTATGATTTAAAATGAGTTTTCAGTTTCCTGGAGAGTTACTGTCCCTCTATGTCACCTGTGTAGACACATTTCTAGAGAACATAATAGACTTAAGAGCTCACCACAGGTATATTTTAGTCTTTGAGTATAGAAGCACTTAGAAACTTTCAGTCAGTGCTTTAACTTCACCTAATACATGTTAGAGGATCAAAAGTGCAAGTCCACAGTTATGATTAATAAAGTATCATAGAAACTCTTAAAATATTATATACTGCAAGAAAATGTATCATTGTTACAAAGACGCTATCTAAATTACCTGAATATAAATTTGGTTGTGTTTCTTACTGATTGACTTTAGGAGAGTTTTTTATCTTTAAATGGAAAATATTGAAGCCTAAGAATGTGGATCACTGTGAACCTCGTCTTTTTCAGGAAGACCTCAGTGAACATGTAGTTCAGGGGGACGCCTTTCCCGGACACGTGGGTACAGCATGCCTCTTGTCGTCTACCATTGCTGAGAGTGGGAAGAGTGCTGGAATCCTCACTCTCCCCATCATGAGCAGAAATTCCAGAAAAACAATAGGCAAAGTGAGAGGTGAGCCTGAAGAAGCAGGGTAGCCTACACACGTAAGCAAAGGTTAGAATAGAATTTCAGTTACTTTCAAATTGAGCTTTTGAGAATGGCAAAGATAAAAGTTAATGATTTGTTTTAGAATATTAGCTAATATAGTAACAGTAAGGGACATACCAAATTTCCTGGAAGCTCTACTTTGAGTCAGTTTTGACTTGTTGCTTTTTTTCTATTTTATGGAGATTGATGAAGCTGGTTTGAGTGGTACTTAAATATAGCTGAGCTCATCATGATCTTTTTAATCATCTTAATTTTTGTCCCTCCCGCTTTTTTTCCTGCGAAAGTTGACTATATAGTTATTAAGCCATTACCAGGATACAGTTGTGACATGAAATCTTCATTTTCCAAGTACTGGAAGCCAAGAATACCACTGGATGTTGGACATCGAGGTGCAGGGAATTCTACAACAACTGCTCAGTAAGTTGACTGTTTGAGTGGTGTCAGCATTTGGTAGTTTATGCTTGGTAAGGCTACATTGGTTTGGCCCACCAAAAGCTGAATGATCCTCTTATTATTACCTGGGATTAAATGTAATTTGGTGTTTGAGGTTTCCAATTCATATTATTTAGAGACTAACTCCTGAGATTGCGGTCAGTCTTTCTAATATTCTTCTGAACTGATGATGAGAGAGACATTGAAAGTAGAAAGCCAGGGGGGAAAAGCTTGATGCAGCATCAGCCTGGTGACCCTCGTATGTCTGTTGTGTTCCTGACTTTCGCATGTTGCCCTCTCTCGTCTTGGCTTCCTCACCTGTTCTCTGTCTGGTTTCAGTACTTGCTGGTTTCACACCTACTGGTGTGTCAGCCTTTTCCCATCCCCCAGTACTAAGTCATCTGAGGTTTCACTGCAAGGAACAAGTTTCTCTGTCTCTACTACTTCATGCCATTGCAAAGGATTGTTTCCTGTAATTGGTCACCTCACTTGGAGAAGTCTGTGTTGGTGTAAAATATGTTTACATATTCAGCTTGTAAATCCCTGTAATTGTTAGAGCTTCATTTATGAAATAAATGTATACACCAACCAAGTGATGGTCAGTCTTATTTTTGGAGATGGCAAAATTAGCCTCAAAATAGAGAATGAGTACTGTTTCTGTTGTTGAAAATATAGTTGGCTTATCACATTTGTTTTCTTTTCTATAGTATATAATAATTATATTTCTATGTATTCTCTTTCAGACTTGCTAAAGTTCAAGAAAATACTATTGCATCTTTAAGAAATGCTGCTAGTCATGTAAGTGAGCCTCTTTTTAAACAATTTTGGAATTCTGGTCCAAAGGTAAAACAGTAGAGAAATGTGGGTCTGGGGAGTTTCTCCCAGTCTGCATTAATAGGTTAAATAGGTTAAAAATTTATGCTTCCTATAGTATGTTTCTAAGTGAAGGTAAAGTATTTGTAGACATTTGTATTTAGAACCTAGGTGAAGATTGGGATGAAAACAATAGAATCATAAGCATCTTTTTTTTTTTAGATAAATTTTGAGTGATTGGGGCAAGAAAAATGTTCCCCATGAAGCCCTGGTTTTCTAATCATTCAGGTAGTCCTTTGGAGATAATGTTTATAGGAGGATTTGATAGTGATTTTATATAACGCTTAAAAACAAAGTTTGTCAGTTTACATCCTATATACCAACTTGATTATGTTCAGGTTCTTAACTTCTTTCATCTAATTATAAAGGGTTAGTCTGTATTTTAGTTTTTTCAGCAACTGCAACTTGACATTTTTAATCAAGAACCTGAGATTGTACCCTCCCAACTCCCATTCCCCCATGCCCCTGCCAAATTCCTGTGAACCTGAATGAAAAGTCTCATGTTGCAAAATTAACCTAAGGGGAAAATGAAGGAACATCTCATCCTCTTATTTCCACTTTTTCCAGTGACCTCCACATGCCTTAAACTTTGCCATTTAAAAAATAGTTCAGCAAGTAAACTTGATGGTCAGATATTTATCAACTTACAGTGAGTGAACATCTATGTGAAGACATACTTTTTTCATATTTTAACTTCTCTAAAATTGGGATTGGTCTTACAGCTTTTCTTAGCTTTGTGCCATGGTTTGATTGGCACCATTTCCCCCTCCGCTTAGTTGGTATATAAAATGATGCATTTTATAATTCATGACATCTGAGATTATCGTAATTACTTATTGTAAGGATTAAAAATATTGATAGTGGATAGTTTTGTCTTTGTGTTCAAAGGATGATATTAAGGCTATGAGTACGTTGGGCTATAATTCATTATTTGAAACCAGTTTTAGTCCATTATTGCCAACTACTCTAAACATTTTATTAGTATAAACACATGAGAATCCCCATTAAGGAACTTTCAGAGTTTCTGTGCTTTTTGAGAGAGGATATCATTAAGCCATTTTCTTCCACATTCTGATGAAAACCTTTAATTCATATGGATCATATTTTTAAATGTCTTACATTAGTTATTAATGGCTAGTTTGTTTTAATGTTGAAACATATCTTCCAAGATATTTTGGTCTGTTGGCTTATTTCTTAAACCTCACAAATAAATTTTGGGATCAAGTTTTATCTCTTAGTAAGATGATCTTCCTAAAGGATGATGAGAATGTAAAATTAAATATTTTAAACTAAAAAATTATGATTTAATATGCTTAATCATAATAAGGGGTGGTAGGGTTTGTTCTCTTCCCTAGAAATGGTTTGCTTTGTTGTTTTATGTCTAGCTACAATAACAGAAGTAGCTAAGCTTATTTCCTCTTCAGAAATCAAGGAAGTAGGCTCCTTTGGATCTAGTCTGTGATCCATGTGTACTCACAATCATCGAGCACCATGCTGTGACTCAGGATAAGGAGTGGAAACATCTATCCATTACAGAATCCTCAGGCCTTGTTTCCACTCTCTCAGCTGGCTTGCTTTCAATGAGTGCACAAATGTCCATGTCAGTTTATGTTCTTAGTCTTTATTTGGATTAATTTATGTCCGAATGGATCTAAATTTCAGTTACTTTCAAATTGAGCTTTTGAGAATGGCAAAGATAAAAGTTAATGATTTGTTTTAGAATATTAGCTAATATAGTAACAGTAAGGGACATACCAAATTTCCTGGAAGCTCTACTTTGAGTCAGTTTTGACTTGTTGCTTTTTTTCTATTTTATGGAGAATGATGAAGCTGGTTTGAGTGGTACTTAAATATAGCTGAGCTCATCATGATCTTTTTAATCATCTTAATTTTTGTCCCTCCCGCTTTTTTTCCTGCGAAAGTTGACTATATAGTTATTAAGCCATTACCAGGATACAGTTGTGACATGAAATCTTCATTTTCCAAGTACTGGAAGCCAAGAATACCACTGGATGTTGGACATCGAGGTGCAGGGAATTCTACAACAACTGCTCAGTAAGTTGACTGTTTGAGTGGTGTCAGCATTTGGTAGTTTATGCTTGGTAAGGCTACATTGGTTTGGCCCACCAAAAGCTGAATGATCCTCTTATTATTACCTGGGATTAAATGTAATTTGGTGTTTGAGGTTTCCAATTCATATTATTTAGAGACTAACTCCTGAGATTGCGGTCAGTCTTTCTAATATTCTTCTGAACTGATGATGAGAGAGACATTGAAAGTAGAAAGCCAGGGGGGAAAAGCTTGATGCAGCATCAGCCTGGTGACCCTCGTATGTCTGTTGTGTTCCTGACTTTCGCATGTTGCCCTCTCTCGTCTTGGCTTCCTCACCTGTTCTCTGTCTGGTTTCAGTACTTGCTGGTTTCACACCTACTGGTGTGTCAGCCTTTTCCCATCCCCCAGTACTAAGTCATCTGAGGTTTCACTGCAAGGAACAAGTTTCTCTGTCTCTACTACTTCATGCCATTGCAAAGGATTGTTTCCTGTAATTGGTCACCTCACTTGGAGAAGTCTGTGTTGGTGTAAAATATGTCTACATATTCAGCTTGTAAATCCCTGTAATTGTTAGAGCTTCATTTATGAAATAAATGTATACACCAACCAAGTGATGGTCAGTCTTATTTTTGGAGATGGCAAAATTAGCCTCAAAATAGAGAATGAGTACTGTTTCTGTTGTTGAAAATATAGTTGGCTTATCACATTTGTTTTCTTTTCTATAGTATATAATAATTATATTTCTATGTATTCTCTTTCAGACTTGCTAAAGTTCAAGAAAATACTATTGCATCTTTAAGAAATGCTGCTAGTCATGTAAGTGAGCCTCTTTTTAAACAATTTTGGAATTCTGGTCCAAAGGTAAAACAGTAGAGAAATGTGGGTCTGGGGAGTTTCTCCCAGTCTGCATTAATAGGTTAAATAGGTTAAAAATTTATGCTTCCTATAGTATGTTTCTAAGTGAAGGTAAAGTATTTGTAGACATTTGTATTTAGAACCTAGGTGAAGATTGGGATGAAAACAATAGAATCATAAGCATCTTTTTTTTTTTAGATAAATTTTGAGTGATTGGGGCAAGAAAAATGTTCCCCATGAAGCCCTGGTTTTCTAATCATTCAGGTAGTCCTTTGGAGATAATGTTTATAGGAGGATTTGATAGTGATTTTATATAACGCTTAAAAACAAAGTTTGTCAGTTTACATCCTATATACCAGCTTGATTATGTTCAGGTTCTTAACTTCTTTCATCTAATTATAAAGGGTTAGTCTGTATTTTAGTTTTTTCAGCAACTGCAACTTGACATTTTTAATCAAGAACCTGAGATTATACCCTCCCAACTCCCATTCCCCCATGCCCCTGCCAAATTCCTGTGAACCTGAATGAAAAGTCTCATGTTGCAAAATTAACCTAAGGGGAAAATGAAGGAACATCTCATCCTCTTATTTCCACTTTTTCCAGTGACCTCCACATGCCTTAAACTTTGCCATTTAAAAAATAGTTCAGCAAGTAAACTTGATGGTCAGATATTTATCAACTTACAGTGAGTGAACATCTATGTGAAGACATACTTTTTTCATATTTTAACTTCTCTAAAATTGGGATTGGTCTTACAGCTTTTCTTAGCTTTGTGCCATGGTTTGATATGGCACCATTTCCCCCTCCGCTTAGTTGGTATATAAAATGATGCATTTTATAATTCATGACATCTGAGATTATCGTAATTACTTATTGTAAGGATTAAAAATATTGATAGTGGATAGTTTTGTCTTTGTGTTCAAAGGATGATATTAAGGCTATGAGTACGTTGGGCTATAATTCATTATTTGAAACCAGTTTTAGTCCATTATTGCCAACTACTCTAAACATTTTATTAGTATAAACACATGAGAATCCCCATTAAGGAACTTTCAGAGTTTCTGTGCTTTTTGAGAGAGGATATCATTAAGCCATTTTCTTCCACATTCTGATGAAAACCTTTAATTCATATGGATCATATTTTTAAATGTCTTACATTAGTTATTAATGGCTAGTTTGTTTTAATGTTGAAACATATCTTCCAAGATATTTTGGTCTGTTGGCTTATTTCTTAAACCTCACAAATAAATTTTGGGATCAAGTTTTATCTCTTAGTAAGATGATCTTCCTAAAGGATGATGAGAATGTAAAATTAAATATTTTAAACTAAAAAATTATGATTTAATATGCTTAATCATAATAAGGGGTGGTAGGGTTTGTTCTCTTCCCTAGAAATGGTTTGCTTTGTTGTTTTATGTCTAGCTACAATAACAGAAGTAGCTAAGCTTATTTCCTCTTCAGAAATCAAGGAAGTAGGCTCCTTTGGATCTAGTCTGTGATCCATGTGTACTCACAATCATCGAGCACCATGCTGTGACTCAGGATAAGGTGTGGAAACATCTATCCATTACAGAATCCTCAGGCCTTGTTTCCACTCTCTCAGCTGGCTTGCTTTCAATGAGTGCACAAATGTCCATGTCAGTTTATGTTCTTAGTCTTTATTTGGATTAATTTATGTCCGAATGGATCTGACTTAAAAATATACCCTTGACTGTAGTTCCTGTCCTCCTCCTGTTGAGGCTTCTGTCAGGAAATTGGCCATTCTTATTGCTCATTTTCGCTTTGTCTGTCTTTACAGCAGCAGTTGTAGTTTTCTCTTTGATCTGATCACTCAGGGTTTGCGAAGAAAAACTGTAAAGGTCTCTGCTCAAGTGCACCTGGATGCAGACTGCAGCTTACTCTTTCTGCCACCTCATCTTTGAGGTTCAGCTGTCCCACTCAGATGTGCAGGGCAACGGTTGTGAGGTAGCCCTGTGCTCCAGGCTCCTGTTAGGCTCTCTGTCTCCTAACAGCAGTAGTGGACATGACACCTGCGCAGGCTGTCCATTATGGAGTGGCCCCGGGGTATGCTCAAGTAGATTTTTTTTTTGGCTAGGAAATAATTGTGGTGCTATTGCAATAAAGAGAAATATTTGTAATTGCTTTGGGGGAAGAAATTACTTTTTTGAAAAAGCTTGAAGTATAGCATTAAATCATGAAGTTTTATGGTTTTGTAGATAAGTCTCTGATTTTACAGTGATCAATAAATTTCTTATGTCCTTATAGTTTTAGGTATATTGTGACCCAGATTAATGTTTTTCAAATGCTTGTTTCCTTCATTCCTGTCAAGGGTGCAGCCTTTGTAGAATTTGATGTGCATCTTTCAAAAGATTTTGTGCCTGTAGTATATCATGATCTCACATGCTGTTTGACTATGAAAAAGGTATGTTGAAATGCCTTCATTTTAGACTCTCATGGTTAGGTAGAAGGTTTAAAAACTATGAAGTTTGTTTTATATGTGTGTGTATGATTATTTATTAAACAGAGGTGGTCAATTTACTTTCTTGGTGAATTACTGACAATCCTTTCCTCTCTCAAGATCCTATAACACTGAGAGAGTGAGAAGATGGAGATAGTAATAATTTCCTGGAGTAAGGTCTCTCTGCCTGAACTTGCTATTTTATATTGTTTAGCAAACAGACATTCCAAGTCGTTTCCATGTCAGTCTGTCACATCTCTGTTGAGGCAGGAGAGGAAACTCATTGTGTTTGTTTTCTAGCTCCCTTCTATTTCTGCTTCAAGCTTTTTCGTCAGTTAATAGGCTACTATGATTTGGCTAAAGCAGGAAAAGCCACCATGAAAAATAAAATTGGGAAAATTCTTTGGAGCCAGAGAATGGATGGCCTCAGTGTAGGAGCTGGGGAGATAGGAAAAACATTTAAGCCAAGCAGCAATGTTAAGAACTAAGCTTCTAGATCAATACTTTGGTACCTGATGCAATGGAGATTTAAGAAAACAGAGACTAGAGGCAAGGGGACCGGTAATGTGGGCCGAAGGTGAGGTAAGCCTGAACTGGAGTGGAAGTCGGTGAGAATGCAGAGGTAGGCATGATAGAGGGGTAAGTCCAGGAAAATGCATATTGTATCTTAAAAATTGTAATTATTCTTCTAACATAAATCTGATGAGTTATGTAGTGTTAAACTTCTGTATGAAGGTTAACCAGCTAGTTTCTCAGATGCTTAAGTTAGGAGGGTTTTTTTTGGCATTTTCTTTAAAACTGTGTTAGGTGTCATTTTCCACTGAGTTGATTTAAAGTTAAGGCGGGTTTGCTAACATGTATAACCCTGTACCACACAACATTCTCTGGTGTGAAAATATGGTAAGGCCCCTGGCTCTGCCTGCTAGTGGATTCTAATCAGTCACATGGGTTCAGATTACTGTGTACAGAAAAGGGCTGTTCCAGCTCTGTGAAATGGTATCAGGAAAGGTGATGGAGGAGTTGTACCTAGTTAGAAGATGGAAGTAGAATAACTAATTAGAAGCAGGGCAGGTTGGTTTTGGGGGAAGAAATTACTTTTTTGAAAAAGCTTGAAGTATAGCATTAAATCATGAAGTTTTATGGTTTTGTAGATAAGTCTCTGATTTTACAGTGATCAATAAATTTCTTATGTCCTTATAGTTTTAGGTATATTGTGACCCAGATTAATGTTTTTCAAATGCTTGTTTCCTTCATTCCTGTCAAGGGTGCAGCCTTTGTAGAATTTGATGTGCATCTTTCAAAAGATTTTGTGCCTGTAGTATATCATGATCTCACATGCTGTTTGACTATGAAAAAATAAGTCTCTGATTTTACAGTGATCAATAAATTTCTTATGTCCTTATAGTTTTAGGTATATTGTGACCCAGATTAATGTTTTTCAAATGCTTGTTTCCTTCATTCCTGTCAAGGGTGCAGCCTTTGTAGAATTTGATGTGCATCTTTCAAAAGATTTTGTGCCTGTAGTATATCATGATCTCACATGCTGTTTGACTATGAAAAAAACATGATACAAAGAGAAACAAGGAGGAGTGGTAAAGGGTCTTATTAACCAAGATTGAGGTTAATGGCTCTAATTGTCATTTCTAAAAATCTGTGAGTTAGTTGAAGAATGTTACTGATCTCCCATTTTCACCAGACTTTGTCTTGCTCTTAAGTTGAACTCAAGTGAGTTAATTGGGGAATGAAAGTGACAAATTGTTTGTATTTTCAGTTTTCATTTTTAAGCTAGTAAAATCAATTCATGGTCATTATGAAACTGCAAGTAGTTCAGAAAATTATGAAATGAGAAATAAATCTTCCTTTCCTATTCTTGTTCAATCTCGAAGTGTTTCTTAATAGTTTCTTATGTATCCTTCCCAAGAAACTATGCATATACAGGCTTATACCACATGTATGTGAATGAATATAAATGTAATAAATGTTAGTATATTTGTTGGATTGATAATGTGTTGATGGTACATTAACTCATTTCTTTAAGATTGTGGTGCCCAAACAGTGTGGCATTTGCTATGGCATTAAAATCTAATAAAACAGATTTGCTCATGGGGAAAAATATCTATGCTAGAGGAGTCCCTATTAAGTACAGTTTATAACTAATGAGACAGTTTTTTCATGACTTCAGTGGCTGTTTTTATCCAAATTTAAGTTTAAAGGGTTTAGGAAGTTATTGACAGATATTAGTCTTCACATAGTCTTGCATGTTGATTTCTTTGTCATTTAGCATAGATAATATGTCAAGTAAAATGTGTAGCAGGGTAAGAAATAGGGAAAATGACTGCTTTGCTCTCAGTGTGTCTTAGTGCCACAGCCTCCTCCCAGCTGTTTTTTTTCTTCCAGACATTAAAAACATTCTTTCACCTACAGTAAAAACAAAACAAAAGACAGAATTTAAGAGCTGGGAAGTGGTGTTAGGTAAGAAGGGCTGTCTTGCATGGGCTCACTGTGGCCACCAAACAGTTGTTTTTATCCTTCAGTAAATTGATATATTAGGCCTGTTTAGGTAAAGTGTTCAGGAATAATTTGCGACACATTTTTTTTTCTTTATTTACTTTCTAGAAATTTGATGCTGATCCAGTTGAATTATTTGAAATTCCAGTAAAGGAATTAACATTTGACCAACTCCAGTTGTTAAAGGTAATAATAATAGGAAAAATGTAAACTATCAGTTTTAGAACTGTTCATATTTGTGTATGTATGGTATTATATTCTCTTTGCATATGGAAATGACTATATATTAAGCATACAAAGAGCGTGTGCTTTTGTTTTCTGTTCTGTTAGGAAGAATGGGTCTGTGCTAATCCATCTTGGCTTCTCAACAGTTTCCTTGGACCCCATTGGTTTTTGCATATGCGAAGAGGCTAGGCTATAAGTTTGTGTAGGCCTTAGGAGCCAGCCTTTCTCATCCATAATCTTATGTTGCCTCTCCATCTGCTTGAGCCCTTCTTTATATAACTGTCACAATTTTACAATTGGCATTTTTATGCTATCATTGGTTTTTATACTGATGTTACTATCTAAAACCTTTGTATATTTTGTTGTATCATGTAATTCTCCATGATCTTTCTTCCTGTTCCCATAAATGATCGATTGAATATAAATGGTTTCCTAACTTAAGAATTTATATTCTTCTTCCTACTTGGGTATTGATCATGCATGATCTTCTGTATATGTCTGCACATATAAAATATATACAGTGGTTTTAGTGCTTATTCTTATGAAACTGATAATTCTAAACTTTATAGTTTTCTCTAGGTTTCTAGCCTTCAGGTTACAGTTCTCAAGTTAACCTTATCATCATAAACTAAAAGTATTTTTTTCTGATTGCATTTTGTGTATGTGTTTTCCAGCTCGCTCATGTGACTGCACTAAAATCTAAAGGTCTGAAAGGTATGTACCAACATGGAAGCACTGTTTTCATTTTGTAGTTAGCATACCTGGAGTTTTTCCTTATTTTAACATACTCTTAGTCATATTAATGAATATTAGTACTGGCTAAATGTAATTTTATAGACATGAAGGCTTTATATTAATTTTAAAATGTGTATGTCATGTGTATAATAACCCTGATTTTTTACTTCTGTGAGATTTTTTAGCTTGATGATCAAAGTACCCATCAGTCCTTTCAAACTTTCTTAACCATTACAAAGTAGAGAATATATTAACTGTAGAATCTGGCCGCAGATCCAGGCATTTGAATCCCCCTTGGCATTCACCAGCTATTACCTTCAGCATGTTGTCCTTAAGCACTCTGTGCCTCAGTTTGCCCAGCATATAAAATGTCTTTGTAATTCCAGTATACTTTCTCCTTGTATGGAACTTCAGAGTCTATGCCATTCATTTGAGGTTTAATGTATCACCTTTTGAGCCCCTTATGTTTGTATATAGCCTGTCTCTTCAACTAGAATGTAAACCTCTCAAGTTTAAGAAAAGTATTTGTATATTCCACAAGACAGTTAAAGTATTCTGCACATAAAGGTACTCGTGAGATGTTTATCTGCAGTTGTGACAACAGGATAGTTGGAAAGCCTTTATGGGGAAATTGTAAAGTGCTAAAGATTCCAAAGATTATCCTCACAGCATAAATATGATTTTATGTGCTTATAGATATTTTATGATTGTTAATAGTAAAATGAATTTTACCTCCAACTTATTCAAGTGGAAAATTTTATATGATTTTGGTCTTTGAATTTTAAACATACAGGGCTTTGTTTTCTTTTTTAAGAAAAGAAAAACCTGATACTCATTTTTTCCCTTTTGGATAAAAATTCTTTGTATGTCCCAAGATACCTGTTCTGTGTTAAATGGTAATGACAGCAAATGCACAGTAGCAGCTATGAATTCTCATAATTCTAACTTCTGAGTTGACTTTGATATGTAAGTAGAAATCTTAACAAGATGACACAGCTCCTCATTCCACTGAGAAATAACAAATCACTGCTTGTGACTACTTTTTAAAAAGCACTGTTACTATTTTTATAAGAAAATAATCACTGTTGGGGCCACAGACTATAGTGTTTATATTAAATGTTGCAAACTAGTCTTCATAAAAGGTGCTTATTTCAAAAATGGGAGTTTTAAATACAAGAACCTTAAAAAAAACACTACATATGAAAGGATCTCATAATTACTTCAGCATCTCTTTTTTTGCCCTAAGAATTTAGGAAAAGATCTTAGTGATAAAATGGTATTTCATCTTCTGAGTTCTTTTAATTTAAAATTTCAGCATCTGTGGTTGAGGAAGAAAGTTCCTTTTCTGAAAATCAGCCCTTTCCTTCTCTTAAGATGGTAAGTTCCTTAGGAAAACTAAGGCAAGGCTATGTCATTAATTCTGTTATATCTGAATAATTTATTTTGGTCTCTCAAGTGGGTACTAATCCGCTGTGACACATCCACTGGACAACAGTAATATAAACTGATGCTTTTTAGAGAAGATACATTTTTGTGTTGTTTACCTGTGAAACTTTTTTTTTTTAAAGACTAACTTACCTGCTCGAATGAATAAAAACTCCTACTTCAGTGGGTTAATGTGTTAAGAATAGGAAGCTGGCATAATTCTGTGTATAAACAGGAAAGAGAGGGCACAGAAAATGACATGGAGAGAGATGCAGTGGTAGGGTAGCATTTTTATAGTATTGAAGACTGTTCCTCAGCTTTGGACAGAAAGAAGATCTCTAACCAAAGACAATATAGGTATGTTGGTTACTTAAAATGAGACTCAAAGTTCAAGAATTCACTCTGAGAAAATACAACAAAAACTAGCATGAGGCTTTAAAACCTAGACACAGTTCATACAGGAATCTGCTTGACAACATCAGGCACGCCTATGTGGTCACCAGCCCCTCTCTGTGACCATACTGGGGCTGCTTTTGCTTCTGCTGGTTCCATTTCCTAACTTGTGCTCTCTCCATTGCCTTTTTCTGGTGATGTCAGATGCAGAGATTGCTTAGCCAAAAGTGGATAATTTCAGTTTATCATGATTACTCACTCCACAGAAAGGAAGCTACAGAAGAGCTCCTAACATGGACATTGTTCTAGTGCTTCAAACAGGAATTGAATGATTTTTCAAGTATTTCTGAAGCCCAGCTAAGTAAAGTCATTTCTTCTAGTCCAAAATTCTGAAATCATTTGGTTTTTAGAAATCTCACAATTTCTAAGAACAGAAATATAATTTAAAGAAAATGTGTATCAAATGTGTAACAGTGTTTACTAAGCCAAACAAGTTAAACACACTCTCATTTATTCACTCACTTTACCATCACTGTAATCACAAAAAATTTTTAAACCAAAAATCGCCCAAATACAGTCTCAGTGTAAAGGAGAATCTTTCTGTGAATTTGATGTCAGCAATCTCAATAGTAGTATATGCTATTGTCCTTATTTTTCAACGTTTGCATCAGTCCAATAAAAATATGACAGATACGTTAAATAAGTTTAAAGGTACCAGAAGAAGGTCAGAAGCCCCACATGAAATTGAGTACGACCATTTTAGGTAATGTACTTTCCATGCATCTGGTTAGTATAGACCCAAGACTAGATACCAGGTCACCAAACTCTCAATTTATGTTCTTGCCATTTATGTTATTCTGCTAGTATGCTTTTATTAGCTGTTTCATAAAATGAAATGCCATATATACCACACATATTAAATGATTTCTAAACTTGTCAAATAAATTGAAGTTAAAAACATAATCTGTTTCAGATTTTCCCCTGAGTATACCTATGTATTTGCCTGGCCTTCATGTTTGTTTAAAGACTAAACAAGTCAGTCTTTATAGGTTAATAACCAATCTTCATATATATTCAATTTAATTTTCTAGTTATACTGCTAAAATAGTCTTATTTCCAAGTGCCTAGATAATTAGGTGCAGATAATGACAGGCTTTGGCATATTCTTTCATTTGGAGATAATGTCTCTTCAGAGGGTTCCCAGTATGGTATTTTTTAGGCATTGCCACCTTCAAAACAAGCTAGAAATCATAATTTTTCATTTAATCATATCTTAGTACAAGAGATTGACATACATGAATGCAATTCCAAAAATGACACGCGTTTTCTTAAATTCATGGGTTGCCTGTCTTACATGAGTTCACTTGGATGTCCAATAGTGATGGTAAAAAGGATTGTAGGTTAAGGATCCATCTTTGTGGTGTAGTGATCAGTTGTCAGAGTTGTTGCCTAAGACTACTGCTTTTGCTGTTCAGTCTCTTTCAACTTTCTTATTTGACTTAATCATCAACCAGATTGTCAGTTTGAGTTTGAGAAAAGATGGTTATGCCAAAGGCACAAAACATTTTATCCTAACTGTGGTATGTTATCTTACAGATTACTTTTTGTAATAATTCTGTTTTCCTTTTTTTCTTCTCCTATTCTCCCATTCATCTCACCAAAAATAAAACAAAATTCACCACCACCAAACAAAACTCTAGGTTTTAGAGTCTTTGCCAGAAGATGTAGGTTTCAACATAGAAATAAAGTGGATCTGCCAGCAAAGGGTATGTAATCTGATGTGACACATTCTTGTTCTCCACCGTCCCATTTCTTTAAATGCCTTCGTTCTTTGTTTTAATGGAGTAAGTGAACTGAAATATTACAGCTTCTTCCAGCAAGCACAGTGCTTATTGGACCTTTTTAATAAAGCATATTTTGTACTTACACTAATATGTGAGTACTTAAAAGTAGTGATGAGTGTATTATACTATAAATTTCAGTTCATATGTGTCTTATGTGTACATTATTATGGATGGTGTCTAGGCATACTTACAAAGTGATCAGTGATAACTTGACCAGACAGAACATTATAACTCTGGTTTTTGTTCCCTTCCCCATCTAAGCATATATTTTTAATAATTTTCTAAGCAGTTTTTGTAAAGTGGCAATAAGTAGTAATAACCAGGAAAAGAAATTTCTTCGAAATGTGTTTTAAATCAATCTCAGATTTAAGTGTTCTTTTGTTCAACAATTATATATTGAAATGCTGCTATTGGCCTGGCAGTTTCTGGGTGCTGGAGTCAAGTAGTCAACAAAATGGAATAAAGCCTTGCCTTCCTGGAACTTAAGTTCCAGCTAAGGAGAACAACTGACTGTTGAATTTTACCGATGAGGGCATGTGTAAATGAAGGGGATGCATTGTTAGAGGTGGTTCATTCAGGTGTAATGTTGGCAACTGGAGCAGTGCTCTGGAATTTGTTTTGGTCAGAATAATCTATAACTGCCTTAAATCATGTCTTCTAAGTAGCTATTTATCATAAACTAGCTGGTCCTGGTTAGTGCAGTGAGTGCTCAGCAAAATTTTTCTTAACAAGTGACTATTAGTTTTCCGAGCTTTTAGAATTATTATTATT